CAGCCAGCTCACAGCACCTGCACCGGCACCCGGCACCAGCACCAGCAACCTGTCTCCACCCCGTGCACAACCAGCTCACAGCACCAGCACCAGCACCGGCACCCAGCACCAGCAACCTGTCTCGAAAGCGCGCACGGGCAACTCATTGTTATTTGAAATAAGAACCCCATAGCTTCGCTATCTGGGGAAAAAACGCTGCTCACATGTTGCAAAGCCATGCATTTGTTTTCCATCACTTCCCCTCCAGACACACCTCATGATGCAGGATATGCAATTCCGTTCCCAGACGAACGCACCCCAACACAAGAACGCCCCCAGCACCTTCGGTGTGCAGACTTCCTTTGAAAAGCTTGGAAACTTGGGGGTCAGGAGGTTATATAGGCACCTGTCCTGCTTTTGGGTCATTCGCATTTGCTGCTCCCTGCCATTTCGAAGGTGAACTGACTGCACTCACAGAATCACTGTATGGCTGCGCTCCACTGGTTGAATACCGCCTTGGCCTCACACTAGGGATCAGACAGTGGTGGCATGATGTCCACTCTGCTCAAGATGTCACGCCTGCCTGACCACTTCTCATTTTTCAGGTGGAAATCCAGACTGCGTCCTTGACTACATTCCTCGACATGTCAAGTACATGGTGAGGCCTGCTTTGCAGTGCTGCAAGGTATGAAGGTGCAGTCGAACATATTTTTTTGCCATCGTTCTATACCGTTCTCCTGTGTCATTCGCACTTATTGAAAGTGACCGGGCCGAAGTCCGCAAGGGAGCTGCTCAAGAACGCCTTTCGATCTACTGTCGAGAGGCACCTAACAAGGACGTCCCAACTAGCTAGCTTGGTGACAACCACTGGACGGGATTGCCTTTCTTACTTGAAGGAGCACAGTTACTGATCCACTCCCTCATGTCGCAGTTGAACTGCAGCAGGGCGACTCTTACCTTAAAGGACAAGCAGGCACAAAGATATAGAACATTTGAGAGAGAGAGAGGGAAGACTGCAGCTGTAGCCTGAGATCAAACTTGCAGAGGGAAACGGAGGAAACACCCCATGAAGATAGATTGCGGATGGTTGCCTTCGTACGCACGTAAATGCATAGATCTCAAAGACTTCCTCACCCCGAGAGAGACAGCATACAGATCTCAACGTCTTGTTAATATCAAGATTATGCACTAGCAAGCACTTGCCTTTAAGCATTAGCCGCACAGACATTGCCTCACATGCAGCCAAAACCCTTCAGAATAGTGAGAGGGGACATACTGGCAAGATTCCAATGACACTCCTTAACTATCATTCGTAAAACACTTTACCATTCTGCGCTGAGGGCTTGTGCCGTGCATGGGTGTCGCACGCGTTTGAGTTGTGCACCTGCTCAGGACATACATGTAATCTTCAAGATCTCCGATCAGGGTGGAGGCATGCCAAAGCGCATGCAAAAGGAGGCAAGCTGCTTTGGGATTTTGAAGGACTGGCTAATGCTTCGTCTAAGATGCATGTAGGTCCTCCCAAGATCAATGTTTTCGCATTTCTTGTTTTGGGAGCCAAAATGAAGAATCAACAATGAACATCGTTAGCGAGATCAATCTTACATTTGTGTACCGGTCTGCAGGTTTTATTCGGTGCGTATTTGGTCTTGGGTATGCTGTAGTCAAGCTCATTAAACATACTACCGTAGCCAAGAACTACGAGGCAATAAATTACAGTGTCAATGAAAGCACGCTTGTACTTGTGCACCAGAGCATTTCTAGTTTTGGGTGTATTTTTAAGTCTCCCAAAGCCACGAGCCCATCAAATATGCATAGCATATGAATGACATCAATTTTGAATTTCTGCGCAATCGTGATTCTATGTCCTTGGATTAGGGTGCTTTTGACACTCAAATACTCTTAAGTGCCAGTGGCTACTATTGGAATTAGAATAGAAGCATTGCCATTATGATTCCTGCTACTTGGCTTTGGATTTGCTTTAAGCGGGCAAGAACCCCCAACGTCTCCAAGGGTCACTGATCAGTATGTGTAGCAACTCTCCAATGGCTTAGCTGCTTTGAACTACCTAAGCCTCTGCAACCTTGGAGTGCTTTATTAAACCTTATATACAGCTCTCAAAGGAAAACACTGCCAACCAACACAGTGTGTGCGATACTTAATAGTGCCGCCTCCAAGGTGCACTGGAGGGTTGCTCAACGCCTTGGAGTGCTGTTTGTTGTGTGTTCTTGACACAGATGGTTGCTGTCGCTTTTTATGTTTTGCATCTTTTGCTTGTGCCGCACCCTTCCACTCATCACCAGTTATCGTTCTTTCAAATGTGGACCATCCCTTGGATGCTCGGCCTGATGTGCACCTGCTTGCCTCCTGCCCTCCAACAGAACACTCACTCGATTATCGGTCACTCTTTCTTTGCTTGATTGGCAACTTACACTGCCATAGACCCAAGATGGCATCTCGAATCTAGAAATGACACCTCGCTAGACATTCTCATGGGGTCACCCGCTGTCTTATAATGCCAGCCGCTGGCACCTCCAATGCAGAATAAGTGGGACTGGGCAAGCAATGCAATGTAATGAGATTGGGGCACGGGCACGGCTCCAGAATGCAAAAGAGCGGGTGAAAAGTTGCAATCAAGGCCTGATTGTAAGGTTGGAGTAGCCCAATGGACCTGTTCTTTTTCTTGTGAGATATGATGCCACAGATCATTAAACACAACATGACACAACAATATATAGCCTCTGTGGCCAGTACACACCCGGAGCGGGTAGTGATGAGGAACGCACTGCAAGTATTGTCGGTCAGTATACTCACTACAGCTGTGGATATTGATATTATCTATCTATTATCTACAGTATATATATATATATTTTGATATCGAGGCCGGCCTTTGCCTCTATTGATCTTTGCTCACTGTTCCAGGCATGGCAGTACGGCTGGACAACAGTTGATTCAGCCAAAGCCAATCCGGAAGCATTTCAGTATGCAGAGGAATCCTGCAGCCTCTCAGTTGCCATCCTTGAGAGTGAAGTGCACTGCAGGAATCGTTTAAGGAGTTTATGAGGAGTACAGTATATTTCGGAGGTTCTTCGTTTCAGTGGAACGTGCTTGTCTTACAGTGCCCACGCTTTGGCATTCAGGTTGGGATAGAGGGTCTGATGCTCCACCACCTGCTCCAGCCCATACACAATTGTTCGCTCCTTAGGCACAATCAGACTATATACTGGGTTGTGAGTTGGCCACATTGAACACCCTGAGGCGAACGGAGTTGGCTGGTTATGGCTTTGGGCTGCCTCTTACTCGTGCTCGCCTTTGCTAACCTTTTGCCGGCGTTGTGATTCGTTGATGTATGATGAGGCGAAAACAGTCACTGTTGTGGATTGATGTCTTTGCATGTCATAGAGCCTCAGTCTTTGCCAAGCATGAAGCGGCTGATTGTTTTTTCCTCGGCCGTCTCACATCGCAACATCTCGAATCGCTAATCTGAGGGCTTCATGCGCAATACTTTGGAGGTGACGTGTTCATGCAGGCACTCCCAGGCCATAGTCTTGGATGTCGCTGCCTTGCAAAATGGTCAGCGTTCGCTTGCCAAGGCCATGGCACTGACTTGATTCTGATTTTGACGCACTTGAAAGCTGATACTCCGTCAACAGAGATTGACGACCTTTCAACGCTCCTCTACAAGAAGGAGGGAATACAGCGAGAAAAGGGCATCGGAATGACATCGCCCAATCTTTGAAGCCGCATGGATAGTGTGAGCAAGAAACAGCTTCCCCAAGCAATTGGGTCTCTGAAAGAAGAAGCACTCTTTCCCAACGAGAACGAGTGGATGAGCTGAGTTGTCGGGGCACAAAGGATTGCTCCAAGAGGCAAGAATATCATGAAGAGCTTAGCAAAATGTTGCGCTGTCATCGAAGCAGTCAGCAAGAGGCATTCCTTTTTGCATCATTATTGTATACAGTACATATAATGTACGTGTATATATATATAATGCACAGTTTCACGCGGTTTTAAGCTTCAAGTTCCAAGTCCCAGAGCGGAAACCTAGGCGTTGACATTGTTGAGAAGCTGTTCCAAAGCAGAAGAGGCAATGCGAATCTACAGAATCCAGTCAGCTTCAACTTTATAGTTTGCAAATTATGTGAGGAGAAGCTTGGCAAGCGACACTGTTGAACCTCAGCAGCCCCAGTCATACAAACTCATGGTGAACTCATGGTGACACTCCTAGTAGCTTCTTGTTACTATATAGTAGTAAAGCCAGGAGCTACTAGTAGCTTCTTGCTCCTAGTGGCGAGTCTGTGAAAAGAACGAGTCAAGTGACCACCAAGGTGCGGAGAAAATCTTGTTCGTCCAAGAGCAGCTTCGTTGTTGTCGTTGGAAGCAAAGAGTCGAGTTGCTCTTTGGTGATGAACAACTTGGATTCTCTAAAGGCTAGAACCATTTTGACCATCCGAGCCCTTCTGCGTCCTTGCTAGTAGTAGCTTGCTTGCTACTACCTACTTGTAGCTGTCTAAAAGCTACTAGCTTACCTATTTTCTTTTTGTAGGGTAGCGGCCTACCCGCTCCAAAAAAGGCAGCGGAAACAGCGTGTTTTCTCCCGAATGCGTAGCGAAGGGTTATCGTTTAACTCTGGGGGTCTGGGGGTAGGGGAATAAAGTCCGATTCAGAAATCAAAATCCGCGATTCAGAAACCAAACTTGCAGCGCTTCTGAAAATACAATTCTGCGCTTCAGAAGCCACAATTCTGCGTTTCAGAAACCAACATTCCGCGATTCAGCAACCAAAAAACAACGATTCAGCAACCAAATTCACAGTAGGTTAGGTGGGGTGGTGGTATGGGGCTGCGGTAATAACGTTCCTGGGAGATGGCACTTGGGTACTGATGGGATGGGGCTGGGGCAATAACGTTCCTGGGAGATGGCAGCTGGCTACTGAATCACAATAGGTTGGGTGGGGGGATGGGGCTGGGGCAATAACGTTCCTGGCAGATGTAGTGACCGTGCAAAACACGGGCAGTTGGGTAGTGACGTTGCTGGGAGATGGCAGCTGTTTTTGGGGTAATAACGTGGTGGTGGTAGGATTGGCGTTTGGAGGGTGGTGTTTTTTGGGTGTCAGATGTGGCTGTGACATTGGGATTTGCGTTTCAGGGTGTTGCATCGAAACGGGTGTTTTTGACAGGTCTCTGAAATGGCGATTTGGGATGATTTTGGTGGATGGGAGTGTATTCAGAACGTTTCGAAATTATTCCAAACTTGTGGTGTGGTGCATATTTTGTTGAAGCTTACATGATATGATATTCTCACTTTTCGTGGCAGGCGCAGCACGTTGTGTGGGCTTTGAGGTGTGGAAGTGCAATTTTCGTGCAGGCGCAGGGATTCGTGAGGTTGCGAGGTGTGGCAGAGGGTCACATTTCGTGGCAGGCGCAGTACTTTGTGCGCGTTGGACGTGTGGATGTGCAAATTTTCGTGGCAGGCGCAGGGAATCGTGAGGTTGCGAGTTGTGGTGGTGGTGAATGTCGCCGTGGCATTGGGATTGGCATGTGAGCAGGCATTGTCTCGAGGGGGTGGAGCCGCGAAACTGCTTGGCAGGGCTGCTTGATGTGTGTGTGTGCTCCAATGGGGCTTCCCGCGTGACTGGAAGTCTCGTACGAAATGCTCGTGTTGGAAACTTGGACACGTGACTTTTGGAGGCAGTCTCGTACGGAACGCTTTGGAGGATTGATGCGTGAATTTTGGTCGAAGTGTGCGTTTTTGAGGAAGTCTCGTACGAAGCGCTCGTTCTGGAGACGTGACGGTTGACTTTTGGAGACTTTAGGAGTCCCCCGCAAGAGTGTCCCACGAGAGTGACACACAAGAGTGTCCCACAAGAGTGTCCCGCAAGAGTGTCCCACAAGAATGTCCTACAAAAGTGTCCTACAACAATGTCCTAAAAGAGAGTTCCGCAAGAGTGTCCCGCAAGAGCCGCAAGAGTGTCCTACGAGAGTGTCCCACAAGAGTGATATACAAGAGTGTCCCACAAGAGTGTCCCGCAAGAGTGTCCCACGAGAGTGTTCCACAAGAGTGCCCGCAAGAGTGTCCCACGAGAGTGTCCCACAAGAGTGTCCTACAAGTGTGTCCCACAAGAGTGTCCTACAAGAGTATCCCACAAAGGTTTTTGAAAAAAAGTGTCCTACAAGACGAGTGTCGCGCAAAAGTGTCTCCTACAAGATGGTCAAAAATTGATTGTTTTCGATTTTCGAGTACGTGTTTGCATTCGGGTTCGTGGGTTCCATCTTGTTTTTTTGCAGTACTCGAAGCGGGTTCTGATGGCTAAGACGTTTTTGTCGCCATTTGAGGTGAAAAAATTGAGGCGACCAAGGTGACCGAGGCCTCAATCGAGGTTCGCCGCAAGATTGACCAATTTGACAACGAAAACTTAGTCGGGCAAACCTAAGGGCAAGTACTGTGCACAAATACCCCAGGGCCTCAAGCAGGCGGAGAAAGAGCTTCAGAGTTGCGCCCAAAAATTTGGAGTGGCAATCCCAGTCAGTAGCTATTTGCAAGGTCCTTTGCAAAGGCTTGGTCAATGAAACTGTCCATTCTTTTGGTGAAACATATGTTGCAATGCAATGCGTTTTGAACAGTGTAAAGAGGAGGGAAAACATGTCAGGAGTAAACAAAGAGAGCGAGAGAGAGAGAGAGAGAGAAAACGACAGAAGAGGGAGGAGAAGAAGAAACCAAAACAGAAATAGTGCTGGAAGGTCAAGCTGAAGCCACCAAAGGGGCTTTTTCCACGAGGTCCGCCTTCGATACGGTTGCACATCCATCTATCCGAAGGAATTTCTACCATTGCTTCACTCTGTATGTACTCACTTCATCAGATGGACTGAGATCATTGATCTCTGACCTTGCCAGTCCTTTTTTGATGACTTGTTTTGTGCCTCAAACTTTGTTCAAGCCATGGTGAGTTAAATCTCTTCAGCATTCATCTACTTCCAAGTCAGGCTTTCACAACATCCCTTTTTAGTGTCTCCGTAGTCATTGGTTTGACAGGCATGCTTCATCAACTGTCTCAACTATACATTTTCTGTGGACAATAAGTGGCACCTGCTTTGCATACTTCGTTCATCTTTGTGCTTTGCTTCTCATGGTTTGGCCCTTCTTCGGGTGATCTCATTTTGTGCCAGGCTTGCAACAATTTCAGTACTTCCACGCTGTGGATGCAGTTTGAAGCCTACCTGGTCGGCCCTATGGTAGGTTAAACCCACCCAAAACTAGTCAATGTTTGCTCTCAGTTTTCCTACCCAAAGTGCCGGTTCCAAGGCATCTGCTGATCAAGGCCGATGCAAGACCAGCAGTGCTCTCGAGCCCAGTGGATTATAATTGTGCTACTGTGGCAGGCCAAAATGGCTTGGAGACTTGGAGTAATTGCGCTTTATTTCACTTGGAATAATCGAGTTTTATTTAGCTCTCAGGAAAGAAACTTGCTCATTGTCCTGCATGGATTTGGTGGCAGAAAGGAGCGCCACATCAGATGAGATCATTGAGCAATCTGATGAGATCACCGGGAGGAACCTTTCTCGAATCTGCCTCAAAAGCTATCCTTGCCAATGACGTCGTTTCTGGTTTTCGATGCCCCTCAGGCACTTTGGGAATGGAGTTGGTTGATTATACTTCCTAGTGAGTGAGTTGCTGCCAGATATATATATATATATTGCTGCCATATATATATATATATGTCATTGGCTCAAGCGCCATTTTCAGCATCAAGCGCTGTGGCTGACGGCCACAGGGCTGAGCAGACTTACCTGGACACCTCAAGTCTGCGGAGAAGGACGGCCAGAACGTGCCCAAGCATGAGAAGACACTATAAAGTGTGCATGCATTGCAGGAGCAGCTGGATCTGGGAAGATCGGTTGGTCTCGAGACCCAACCTGGCATGCAATCACTGCGGAGAGGCATGGCAAACCGCGCAGGTCCCGGACTTGCGAAAGAACCGGAGGGTGACTTGGGCAGCCTGGAACTACCAGGGTGACGGGCACCGATGGCCAAAGAAATCCTTTAAAGAAGCATTGTTGGAACCACCTCCGGGACTCCAAGGGGGCCAGAGGACACGCAAGGCCAAGAAGGCCAAAGATCCCGCTTTACAGAAAGCACTCAAAGACCATTGGGATCAATTGCCGGATGCATTCAAAGAGAAATGCACGTCCTTAGGTGTACAGGTGACCGCTCCTCCCAGTACACCTGATTTGCCCACCTTGATCAAAGAGCACCTCCAAAGCTTGCCTACTGAGTTGAAGGAGGCAGTGGAGAAATTGGTGGCCCCAGATCCACCGGAACCACCGCTGGCTTCCAAAGTCAAACAAGCGGTGGGCACTCTGAAGCAGCTGACCGAGAAGAAAGCCAGCCTACAGACAAAGGCAGACACAGTTAAAGCTCAATACACTCAGCTCCTGCAAGACCTCAAGGAGTTGCAAGGCAAGATTGAGACGGCACAGAAAGAGTTGCAGAGCACCACCACACAGTACAACCAGCAACTTGAGAAGCAAAAGCAAGAAGATGCTGAAGACATAGCAGATGAACTTTCCCCTGAAGCATTAGTCACTGCAATGGCCAGTGTTGGGCTTCAGGCAACATCAGCCCAGGTGAAAGACCTGGCCGTGAAGCTTGTTGAGAGCGCGGCAAAAAGGAGGAAGTGTGGGTAACAGCATGTTACCCTGCAGGGCTGATGAAGGGGGTGACACAACCTGGTCACAAACATCCAGGGGAAGCAGTGATGTGAGCATGCCAGGTTGTGCTAGTTTTGGCTCAGGAGATGGGGGTTTTTCCTTTGACGGGCCTGAGATGGGGAGTTCAGCCGACCAGCGGCTGACCAGTCAGGAAGGGAGTGCGCCTTTCCCTGGCTTCACAGGAGGAGCTGGCGACATGGATGACACCATGGACTCCAGCAGCGACATAGAAATGCAGGCTGACAGCACTGCACCAAGGAGTGGTCCGATGTGGCCGCTTGACTACGTGGCACAAAGCCTGCAATGCAGGCTTGGAAATCCAAACAATCGATGTTTTGCGAATGCAGCCTTCCGCTTATGGTCATGGGCGGGGGCTTTCATGGATGGACCACAACTGTGGAGCAAAACAACCACAGCAGTTCTGGAGGCACTCAAGGCCGATGAGGTAGTTCATCTGCCCAAGCTGCCAGGGCTGGAAGTTTTGTGGGAGAAATTTGATGACAACAAACAAGATGATGCATCTCATTTTCTGCAAGAATTGGTGGCGATTGCGGCCACAGACCATGTAATCCAGAGCTACCACCAGGTTGACTACAGACAGGAGGTCCAGCAGCACAAAGCCTTCCCGGTTCATCTGCTATTCCATGCATCCCAAGGACCGGGAGATTTGGAACACCTGATCGCTGAATGGGCGAACACAGCAGAGGGACAGGTTTTTGATGTGCAAGGATTGTGGGTGGCACAGATTGGCCGCTATGAACAAGTTCAGGGTACATGGACAAAGCACCACCGTGCTTTGCAAGTGCCCTCGATCTTCAATTTGCCGGTCACCCTGGATGGAGAAGAAACCAGAACGCTGCAATACTCCCTGATTGGTTTCCTGTGCCACTCCGGCACAGCACACCAGGAGGGGCATTTCTTTGCTGTTTTCATCTATAGAGGTTTGTACTGGCTTGTTGATGATGGTGCCTACCCCAGACCTTTTCAACATCTGTCAGAGACAACCCAACAACAGATTGTGCAGGTTTGGGCCATTCCCTCAAGACGGCTGCTACCGGCCCACATTGAGTGTGATGTGACATCCGGGCACCAGAGACCCATAGCACCGGAACCGGTTTCGAAGAGGCAATGTACTGAGGGCATCCAGTCTGATTTCGCCAACATCACGCAACTTGGTCAGGCAGTGAGACAATGGATCATCACTCGACCCAGGAAGCCTTTGTTCATGGTGGAAACTCACTTGGGCGCAGCGGATCATGAGAAAACACAGCAATGGCTGGCCACACGTGGACTCAACATGCTTGGTGAACCAGCAGCTGAGACTGTCAAAGGAGGCACCAACGGGGGTTTCATGATGGTCTACCCACCAAATCAACATTTCCATTTTGCCCAGAAGCAGGTCATTGAAGGATGCGGGTGGTATGGCGTTTCCTGGACTTTTGGCAACAGCGAATTGATTTTGGTGATGACGTATTTCAAATGTGGCGAAGGGCTGCAAGGACCATGCAACAGCAAGCTGTGGGCTGGGTTGTTGGCTTTTGTGACGAGCCTGCAACGACCGGTGATCGTTTTCGGTGACTTCAACATTCCACCGGAAGTGTTCATGACCACCACCATGGCGCAGGTCATGCACGTACAAATTCTGGCAACAGGGCAGGAGACATGCAACACTGGCAATGAGCTGGATTGGGCATTTGTCTCGACACATTTGATTGCGGACATGTCGGTTCAGACGGATTGGATGGTGCCTTTCAAACCTCATGCTATGCTCCGCTTCCAATTGGCTGGCCATTTTGAGGAAGTGGTGGTTCGGCAACTCTCCAAATATGGGCCAGCGCCCAAGATCAGCAAGCCGGAAAAAGAGTGGCATCAAATTGAAACCAGACAGGTCAAAGTCAATTGGCTGAACAAGGAGACGGACAACCTCACTTCACAGACTGGAAGCCTGTATGACCGCATTGAAAGATTTGTGCTTCAACAGCTGGACAAACCCACCACTGGGCGAGGCACACATCTTCAGTATGTCCACCGACCAATTGCTGACCCTAGCAAGCCGTGGCTTTGGAGGAAACGCAGCTTAGCCTTTTGGGGTCAGATCGAAATCCGGTTGCAGAGGTTGCTGCACCAGTCTCAACGTGAACCTCGGCATCAGACAGGTCTACAAAAACTAGGCTGGCACATCGAAGAGAACTGGCACCCGGATGCTCCGGTTACTTGTGAAGGCTACAAGATGTTGTTCGAAATGCTGTGGCATCAGCATGGAGATGAGCACATTCATGTCCTTTTGAATTACACCACCAAACAGAGGGAACTGCATCAACAAGAGAGTTTTCAACAAGAGACTGAAGAATACAGGCAATGGCTGACACAGGCAACAAAGAAAGGGTGCCGCGGATTATATCGCACACTCAAGAAGGATGAGCTGCCGTACATGCGGCCTTTCCAAGACCAGCCCAGGAGTGAGCGCATGCCAAAAAGAGTTCAACAGTGGGGGGACATATGGCAAATCCAGGATCAACCGGTCCTCATTGCTAGCATGGAGCAGATGATCCAGAAAGGACAAGCAGCCGCACAGCAGCTCCCTCCGTTGACTGAGGCACAGATTTGGTATACCATCAAGCAACTGGCTCTCAAGGCACCCGGCTTGGACGGCATTGGCTTTGACTTCCTCAAAGCTTTGCCCTACAGTGCCATGGCAGATTTGAAAGAGCTCTTTCATCAGATCGAGGCAGCGGCCATGATACCCAGCCAATGGGGGACCTCGTTGATAGCTCTTCTGCCAAAGTCCCAAGTCATTGAGCGCCCCATTGCTTTGGTAGCCACTCTTTACAGGCTGTGGCGCCGTTTGAGAAATGGGCAGACCAAGTTGTGGGCTCAGAACATTCAGGATGAGTATCCATGGGAGAGGGCAGTGCCAGGGACAGAATGTTTGCAGGTTGCTTTGAAGAGAGCTTTCATGACGGAACATCATCAAGCACACCGAAGAACCGTTGTCTCTGTACTTTTGGACCTTTCCAATTTCTATGACCGCATCAACCTGCAAAAGCTGGCAAACCGCTGGCTGGATTCCTCGTATCCTGCAACCCATCCGGCACTGGCCATGCAAGTGTACGCTGGAAGCAGGATCCTGGAAGCAGAAGGAGAAGCGTCAGAGCCGCTCTGGGCAAGTCATGGCATCCTGGCAGGTGACCCGCAAGCACCTTTGGCTGCTAAGGTGTATTTGCAAAGGGCCCTCCGTGAGTTCAGCAGACGATACCCTCAACTGCACACGGACTTATGGATCGATGACTTGAGTTTCGATGTTGTTGACAAGGACCCTTACAATGCTGCAAGAATCGCAATACAGGCCTATGAGTTTGTCAAAACTGAACTTGAGAAGGACAATTTGAAAGTCTCGGCCCAAAAGACTGGATTCCTTGTGTCCAATGCAGCAGTCAAAAAGATCCTCCAAGAACAGCTTCCCGAGGGAGGCCCAAGAGTACATGATGTGATGAGAGATCTTGGAGTAGACTGCACGGCCGGCCGTTTGAGAAGGATTCAAACCATGAGAGCTAGGCGCACCAAGGCGGCCAGAAAGACTCGCAAGCTGATGACTTTGAAGATTCCTCAACGGGCCATCCGCCTCAAATTGTACAAGGGCAGCATAGTAGCTGGCATTAGCTGGGGCCACGAGGCCATGGGTCTGGCTCCCCAGGTCCGCCGGCGACTTCGTGCAACAATGGGTCGGCAGATGGGTTTGCAAAAGACGGGGAACATTGACATCCTCTTCGATATGCAAAAACAGCACAGAGATCCAGACTATGGTGCATTTGAGGATCAGGTGCGGCTGTACCGCCGATTTTTCGGCAACTGGCCAGAACACCTTGCCAGAGACTTGGAGAAAGCCTGGAATTTTCAGAAGGACAAACTCCGGGCGGCAAAACATCCCTGGCAGCATGCAAAAGGTCCAGTGGCTGCATTGCAATGCTATTTGATGGAGCATGTGTGGCAATGCGACAGGTACGATGAGTGGACCAAGCCCGGACACAACGGGGAACCGGAATGCAGGTTGAACATGCGTGCAGATTGGTTCTTTCTGAAGCAAGAGTTGGCCAGGGCAAAGAAGTGGGAAACTGTCATGAAAGTCAGCCAACGCACTTTCCTTCAAGAAGTGCAGCAGCCATTGGATTGGCTGCCATGGAGAAGAATGAGCAGACAGTTGAGCAAACCCCAAAACACAGCGCTGCAAACGTGGCATCAAGGTGCCATTTTCACCCGCAGTGCTGATGGGCAGGAAGGCAAGCACCTGATGTGCCCTCATTGTCACACAGAGGCCACTCCGATTCATCTCCTCTGGCTGTGCCCACAGACGCAAAAGCAGTTTGCACCGCTGGATCAGCTTGACAAGCAGGAGATCGAACAAGGGATCAACCTTGAGTTTTGGTCCCAGGGCCTGTTGCAGTTGCCACAATATGAGCTTTCAACTGGAGGTGCGGCCGTCCAGACTTGGGGCTCATGGACCATCAATGATGAAGTTCAGCTTGGAGACCATGACATGGTGACCATAGGCATCGCCCCGACGAGCCATGACCCG